GTTCAAACCTTTTCAAACTTTTGAAATAAATGTGTTGATCATTTGGAAATTCAGTGTGGGGATGTATGAAGTTAGGGTAGGAATTCTCTGCTTCCCTTGGGCTGTGCTACGCTGATAATGTCCCCTCCAAAGCCAGGGGCAGTGGCGCACATCTGTAATCCCAGTGCTAAGGAGGCTGAGGCAAGAGGATTGACATCAGTTTGAAGCCAGCCTGGGCTACATAGTAAGTTCAAGGCCAGGCTAAAAGACATCACAAGATCCTGTCTCAGAAAAGTAAAAAATAAATGTGCTTATGAGTCCATGTGTTGGGAAGAATCTGGAAATTCACGTTGGTGGTATTTGGAGATACAGCCTTTGGAAGGTAATTACGGTTAGACAGTTAGGGTCGTGAGGGTGGGGCCCTATGATTGGATTAGCGTCTTTATAAGCAGACAGACCCAAACTTGCATTTTGCCCTGTTCTGTTGTGTGGTGCCTGCCACTGTTATGAGAGCAAGAGGACAGCATCACATGCCAGCACCTTGTTATTTAATGTCCAGAACCACGAGGGAATGTTGTAGACACTGTTCATGAGGAAAACAATTATATATAGGACACATAATTTATAGTATTATTTTATAATGGTCACCCAAAAGTCAAATATAAAAGATAGTGCAGGAAATCTGTCCACACACCAAGACCCAAAGAATCCAGCTGAGGGCCTGGATCCCACAGCAATGTCCTGCATGAGTCCAGCTGAAGACTTACAGTCCATAACAATAGTCCCCATGAGTTCACCTGGAGATCTAGAGCCCACGACAGTATGTCATGCCAGTCTGTTTCACGGATCTTCACTGGGTAGCCCCAAAGGTCAGAGGCAGAAGCTAGAAATTCTGTGCCAGCAGGGTGAAGGAGCTGTGCCAGAAGCTTGAGAGTTCTACATTGGAGCCAGGATGCAATGCTTAACATAAGGACCAGGCTTCCCAAAAAAGCACCACACCCATGCTCAGTGACAAGGTCCCGAGCTCCTCCGATGTTGAAAACAACCAAGTTCATATCAGGAAAGCCAGCGTGACAAGCTTCTCCAGGAGACGGAACCACACACATCATCTCCGCTGGAGCCAGGAAGCAATGCTCAAAGTAAGGACCAGAGCTCCCCCAGAGTGAACCATAGCCACTCTCAGTGACAACAAGACCCTGAGCTCCTCCGATGATAACAGCCAAGTTCAGATCAGGAAAGAAGCTTGACAAGGTCCTCCAGGAGACCCAACAGCATCAGGAGAACCAACAACATCACTTCTTCCTCTCCAGGTCTTCTTTTTATGTTGGCAACAATCCTCACATGGGCCACCCACATCCAGCACTACGCTAATTCAGTTCATCTGGTTGTTATGAATTGCCCACCAGATAGCGGGGCATGGTTATGCACCCCTGTAATCCCAGCTCTCAAAAGGCCGAGGCAGGAGGATCCTTGGGAGTTCAAAACCAGCCTGGGCTACAAAGTGAGCCCAAGGCCAGCCTGAACTGCATAGTGAGACCCTGTCTCAAAAAGAAAAAAAAATTGCCCACCAGTTGTTAATCCACCACAGTAAACAAACTTCTAGTGTCTATAAATTACTTAGGTCTTGTTATAGCAACAGCAAAGACTATTTATTAGTATCAGCCACCTTAACCATGCATAACTGTTTCCTGGGGAGGAAGCCTCCTCTTCTCTGCTCAGTCTTAGTGCCATCAATGGCCCTGAGCTCAATCCTGCAGTCTAACCCCTAAATACCAGGTGAATATCAGATGTGGCCTGGCACAAAGAGAGGGTTTTGCCCAGTGATGGCACCTGATAGCACCCATCCCTAAAAACTGTGATTTCTGGCTGGGAAGCCGACCCTGAGCCTTCTGAGCCAACCCTGTACTCCAAGGGAAGTGCCTAGGAGTGCTGACTGCGAGAGAACAGAGCCCTGGACCTCCAGGCAAGAAGCTGTATTTTCACCCAGGTTTTGAGGGAGCAGGTAAACCAGTCACTTTTTTTTTGTCTTCTTTGAGACAAGGTCTCGCTATGTAATTCAGACTGCCCTCGAACTCCTAGTTCAGCAGTGGTTTTAAAGACTGTCAGTTTCCAAGCACAGAGTAGTTTGAAGGCCTATGTGAACCTCTCTTTGGGGCAAGCTTCCATTTTTTTTTTTTTTTTTTTTTTTTTTTTTTTTTTTTTTTGGTGCGGGAGATCAAACTGATGACTTTGCGCTTGCCAGGCAGGCGCTTATGCCACTGAGCTAAATCCCCGGCCCCAACAATCTCCCAAATTTGACAAAGGGCATCTACCCTGCGGGCCTACGAGTCTCCCGATGTGTAAGTAACACGAACATTTAACTATTTTAGCAACTAATTACAGAGCAATTAATATGCTCTGGGAGAAGAGCTCCACAGAAGCCTCCTGGTGGCAGTAAGTCTGCGGCGCCACAGCCAGGTGGCGATGAAGGCCTGTTCACGGACACCCTCTCCCCGGCTCGCCTTGGTCCAGAGAACCGGGGATCGGAACGAGCAGACACTGTGGGCAAAGAAAGGAGAGGGTACTAGGGCTGGGTTCAGAGCATCCTGATCAGAGAAAAGGGATTGGAGGCATAGCGGACCTGGGTGCACGCTGAAGGCTGTAAAGGACGCAGGACTGGAGTGGGTGGGGCTTGAAACCCAAAAGAGAGGAATTTAAATATGGGCGGGGTTATTCACTAGCAGGAGGCGGGGCCTGGTGGAGGGGTTGGGTTTTGTCCCTGCGTAGGCGCCGCTTGCTGGCAAGGTCGGGACTAGGGACTTCTCTAGGGGAGCAGGATTTAAAGCCTATCGGGGCGGGGCTTGCGGGCATCTTCTGCGGGCGGGCCCAGGAGGAGCGGCCCCGGTGGGAGGCAGCTTCCGCCGTCGGGTGTTACCGCGTGTGGGCGGGGCTGTTCCCAGGGTGAGCTGTGCGGAGCAGCAGGATTTGTAGCTGGGGCCGAAACTGCAGAAGAGTTTGAGAGGGACTTTGCTCGTCTGCTGGGGGGCGGAGTTTGTGTCTCTCCTGGACAGAGTTACTGACTCTGCAAACTGCTGGGCTCCTGGAAGAGTCAAAGGCCCTGTGAAGGGGCGGAGTGTGCAGTTGTATTAGGCGGGGCACATAACTCCGGGTGAATGTGTAAACTCTGGGCGGAGCTCTTACCTCGGGGAGGCCGAGGCCGAGGCTCCTCACTGCCTTCGGTGCGAGCCCAGGGGAGGGGCGGGCGTATGAGGCTGGGCGGGGGCCTGGGCAGAACAGAGAGGACAGACGGACAGGGCATTATCTCTAGGAATCCGAGTTGGCAGGGGGTGAAGCTTGTGGCTTTAGCGGGCGGGCTTCCCGAGCGCTCCCTAGGGGACTTTGGGCCGCTGCGGGTGGGCGTGGCTCGAAGCTCCAGGCCGCCGGGCAGGTAGGGCTCGGGTCCCGGGCCGCCTTTGGGTGGGGGGGCCTGGGAATCAGTGGGCAGGGCCTGAGACAGCTCTCTGCTTGGGCGGAGACGGGCCTCGACGCAGGCTGGGGCTGTGCCCTGGGAGGCCGTCTGTTTAGGCCCGCACGCAGCTCCGCATCTGGTGCTCATTACCGGATGACAAAGAGCCGGCTCTGGGCCCCCTTCCCCACTCCCATCCCCCTTCGACTGCAGTGCATTTAACTCCTTCCTGCCCTCGCGGTGCTCTGGATGCTCCACGCGGGTGTCCTAGGAAGGAGCTTCAGAGCTTTCCGTCCAGCTGACCTTCTCATTCCCTATGCTGAGCCTGCATCTCCTTCCCAGACTGAGGGAGGCATCAGGGCACCTCGCGATCCCCACCTCCATTTAGCAAACCTCCCTCTCCGAGGTTTTTGGAGGTTAAAGCTCAGCAGCATCTGGCGGGGGCGTCTGGTTTGAGTTAGGGGAACGTGAGAGCGGCGGCCGTGGGCGGTGCGTAGCGTTCCCCCGCCCCCTCCGCGACCTCCGGGTTCGTCCCCAGCTCCGGCCCCGCCTCTCCTGCTCCCCTGGGGCTCAGCCTCTAGGCCAAAGTGTCCTAGGGCTCCAGGTAGGAAAACAGCGTTGAGCCACCACTCCTCGCCTGCCCGGCTAGTGGCGGCGTCTCTGTCCCGTCTTAATTAAAGGTCTCGAGAGGCTGAAACCGAAAAATTATAGAGGCTGTGGGTACCGGCGCCTCCCTGGTCCAGGGTCCGCCTCCTCCCCCCAGCCGAGACGCCCTGGATGAGGGGGTTTACTCCACACGCTGCAATCTTCCTGCTGTGATTTCTAACCGGGCCTCTAACCAGATCCTGGGACTCCTCAGCCTTGAGCAGCCCTCGACCTCGCTGGAGTGTGTTTTCTGTGACCCCGCACGGAGAAGTGTGCAGTTCGCTCCTGAGACAGTAGCTCTGCTAGGGAGGCTGCCCGAGGTGATGGACCTGGCTCGCTTGACTTCACGCTTTCTTCACCTCAGCCTCCTGGGCTCTGATTTCTGCCTTCTCCCTAGAGCAAGAGGGAGTAGTGCCTCCCAGAGCACCTAAAATCCAGAGAGGGTGGCAGCATCCTTAGGTGACCTGAGTCCCAGCTCCCAACTTCTGGGCAGCCTGCCAGGATGGGAAAAGATGTTCCAAGGAAAGTTCAGAGAAACTCACCCATTAGATGCCCCCTTCGTTCCCACAGACCAACAGCCCCAGAGCCTATCTGACCCCTAAACCCCAATTTTACAGCAGGTCAGCAGAAACCCTAATCCCTAAATCCTCCCCTAATTTCAGCCCCACTTTATTAGCATTTTGATTAAAAAAAAAAAAAAAAAAGAAGAAGCACAGATATGCTAAATCTCAGATTCCTGGGCTTGCTGTGTGACCATGCCCTAGGCTCTGCCCTCTCTGGTTTCCTGCTTTCCTCAGAATCCCCGGAGTCTTACCCTCCTTTAGGGAAGGGTCTTACCTTACCTAGAAAAACCGAAAGAAGATCCATTCCGTTTTTCTTGAGTCTTCCCAGACCCTCCCCTCTGGCATCAATGAGGGTCAGGCACTTTGGCTGAGGTTGGCACCCCATTTATTTGAGAAGACCCCAGCACCCACCCCCTGAGGTCCTGGGGGGGGGCTTGGTGTGTCCTCTGTCCAGCTGGGCAGCCCCCATGGGTCCCTGGTGCAGCCTCAGCCATGTGTCCAGTCACGTCCCTTCCCCCTACCCGCAGGGGGCATCTATGCCCTGTCACACACTGGTTCTGCAGGTCTGTACCCCTGTGAAGCTGCCCCTGGGGGGCATGGGTTCTGTTTGGCCTTTACTCCCAGCATGGATGACCCAGCGATAGCAGTCAGTAATGCGCTTGTTGGGCGCATGGGGGCCACAGCGGGTGCAGTACACGATGCCCAGTGCAAGCAGGACCACCAGGAAGACACATGTTGGCACCAGGAGTGCCACCAGCAACCACCGATCATCCCTCTGACTTTGACCTGCAAGACCAGCTTCTGCCAGAGCTGTTGGAACTGCTGTGGGGACCAACTTAGAAGTGGGGCCATCTTCCCTCGGGAGTTGGGGAGCTATGAAATGGGGATGTGTAGGGCTGATGCGTGAAGTCTGGTTAACTGGGCTTTGAGGGGGCAAAGGAGTAGGGAGGGCTGGGAGCTGGGTGGCAGCAGGCACAGGGGTCTGGTGGGCAGGGGTCCCAGGTGACCCAGAGGTAGTGGGCAGAGTGGGCTGGACAGTTGGGGTAAAAGACTGCTGGGAGGCTTGGGCCCTGACACCTGTGACATCTATGAACAGAGGGGCTTGATGGGCACTTGGGGTGGTGTCCAGGGGGGCAGGGTTAGCTGGAATTTCAGACAGGTGAGTGGTAAGCTGGGTGTCAGCCCCCTGAGGATCTGGAAACCTGTGAGATAGGTGGGTAGGAAAGAACTGGGGATATTTGGCTGAGGTAATAGGGGGCTGGTGGGCAGGGGGCTGTGCTGGAGGGGCGACAGAGATAAGTTGGGGCTGGTGGGCAGAAGGCAGATGTGGATAGTTGTTTGAGATCATGGGGGGCTGGTAGTCAGGAAGCGCAGCAGGGTACATGGCAGGGATCATGGGGTGCCGATGGGCAGGGCCCAGGGATGGGTGTGTAGCAGAAATAATAGGGATCTGGTGGTCAGGAGACAGAGCAGGGTGCATGGCAGAGATCACAGGAGGTCTATGGGCAGGGCTCAGGGGTGGATGTGGGGGGATCTGGTGAGCAGAAGGCAGTGTGGGACGCAGTGCAGAGATCACAGGGACTCTGTGGGCAGGGTTCAGGGGTGGGTGTGTAGCAGAGATAACAGGAGTCTGGCGGACAGAAAGCAGTGTGGGGCGCGTGGCCGAGACTACCACAGGCTGAGTGTTGGAGATCACTGAAGAGTGGTAGGGGACCCTGGGGGCATTGGGCTGGGCTGGCCAGGTGGGCTTCAGATGGGGTCTTCTCAGCTCTCGCTCTCCTGGGAAGCTGGGTCTATAAGAAAGGCCAAAGTCTCGTGACAAGACCCCAGTGTCCTCTGTCAAGCCACCTTCAGGGCCCTCTGCTGCCTCCACATCTTCCACCACCTCCTCCACCTCCTCTGCCTTCTCTTCCTCTTCCTCCCCTTTGTCCGACTCATCTCCAAGGTCCCGGGAAGCCGGGGCACCCATAGCACCTGTGGGGATACAGTTGCTGCCATCTTCCTGGAGCTCAAGCCCCTCACTGCAATAGCACTCAAAGCCACCAGCGTAGTTGACACACATCTGCTGGCACACACCGGCAATCTGGCACTCATCTATGTCCACGCAGCGGTGTGGCTCTTCCTCTGCTGGCCGGAAGCCCAGGAGACAGTGGCAGCTGTACCCTTGTGGCCCGCCAGGCTCACAGTGATGTTCACATGGGGCCTGGGCACACGGGTCCTCACAGCTGTGCCCATCTGCTGCCAACCGGAAACCCTCAGTGCAGTGGCAAGACACCTGACCATTCATGTCCTCCATGCACTCGTGTTCACAGCCCCCGTTGTCCGGGCCACAGCTCATCCCCGGGCACAAGGGCCCCGCCTGGGACCAGCCCACACCTCCTTCAGGCTGCTTCACGCAGAGCAGAGAGGCTCCCCTGCCAAACTGGCACTGCACAGCAGCCACAGAGCCGAAGGGCAGCCACTCGAATTCTGTAGAGACCAGGTGAAAGGGCGTGGTGTAGACGGTAGGGCTGGCCTGGCCGGCCTCATCCGGCAGCGCTGGGCAGGCGCCCTCGAAGCCAAACTGGCACAGGTAACCGTCGATAGGCAGTGTGCAGGAGCCTTCATGCCAGCGGTGGGCATAACTGGCCTCCAGGGCTGCACAGCGCTGGGCCATGCAGGACCCTCCCATGGCTTGCTGGGCCCAATTGGTGAAAGCTGTGTCCTGGTCTCCCGTGGTCCATGTAAAGCCACGAAGTGGGCGCTGCAGCTGGCATTGCCGTGCCTGTCGCTGCAGTCCGATCCACAGCAGCTTGTCTTTTGGGCCGGCGCCCAGCAGGCTGTCCACACGCCGGGCCTCCTCGGGTGTTCTTGGTGTGGCCAGGTTGCCCCCCAGTTCACGGCAGGCCCGCCAGGCTTCTAGGAAGGTTCGGGATTCGGGGTAGAGAACGTAGCAGCTGTTGGGGCCACAGGTAGCATGGGGCTCAGTGGGCCAGGAGGCCTGGCCCAGTGTGGGCACTGCGGCCGCCCAGGCCAGCAGCAGGCGCAGCAGCATCACGACGCCCCCTGACTGGTCTGGCCCGGGCTTGCGGCTGCTCTTGACAGGGGGAGGGACGGGGCCTCCAGCAGGCGGGCTGGGGGCGGGCCTAGGCAGGCAGGGCTCAGGCCTTGTAAGGAGTGGGCTGGGGCCACCGCCAGCTTCTTGCTCCTGCTCCCCCAGGGCCACAGGAGCAGGAAGCAGTGGGGTTGGGGGTGCTAGGGTTGTTGGGGAGGGAGGAGGCGAAGTACTTGGGCTGCCCCAGGCCGCACAGGGCTGGAAGTCAAGGGGGCAGAAAGTGCTGCTTGCTGAGACAGGGCCCTCTGAACCCCAGCGCACTGCAATGGTGGGAGTAGGGAGCCTGGTCCTTCCAGCCAAGCTTGCAGACAGACATGTGCATGCTCCTCTCCCCACCCCTGGGCAGGGGCACACGCATGGGCCCCCTGTGTGCCTGGCTCAGTCCTCCCAGTCTAGTCCTTCCCCTCACCTGGGCCAGGTGAGCCTGCCCTGGTGCACTGCTGCCTGCCACTACACCCCTGTGGTACTCCTTCCAAGATGGTGTGGGGGTCCACAAAGCTGAACTTGGGAAGTCCCTCACATTCCTGTACAGGCCCTAAGTGGCCAGTGACCCAGGGGTGGTCACTCTTAACCCAACTGTGTTCTCTGTTCCCTAAGTCCTTTCCTCAGTCACCCCATTCCCCAGAGTGGGGCCAGCCCAAAGGGGCAGGGGGGGCAGGGGCGGAACAGGGCTGCCTTTTCTTCACCCCTGCTCAGCTGGGGACCCTGGGAACCTGGGATTAGAAGGGGAGGAGGAGCCCCCAAACAGGAAATGCCTCTCTGGGCTCCTGCTGGAGGAGGGCAGGGTCTGTGGGTTAGGGGGTTGGGCTGCTCTCAGGGGGCAGAGCTGGCTGTGAGGGCTCTGGTGCAAGGCCATGTATGGGCCCTGGACACACAGTGACACATTCACATGTGTGTGACAGGGGCTTCATGCTGTGGAGCCATCCCTACCCCCACCTCCTTCCAGCCTCACCCCAGGCCTCTGGAGAGGCAGCACACTGAGCCTGTCACCCAGAAGGTCTCAGAGAGGTGGCTGAAGGTTAGTTAACTCATGTTCACAGTTGTTTCATTTTTTTTTTTTTTTTTATGTCTGATGGATTGATTGAGATGGGGTTTTGCTGTGTGGCCCAGCTTGGCCCCAGACTCTTTGGGTCAACCAATCCTCCTGCCTCAGCCTTGCAAGTAGCTGGAACCCTAGGCATGGGACATTCTTAGTAGACATTTGAGCCAGGGCTGAGGAGGTAGAGGAGAGGTTCTCCTACTCAGGGTGCTGCCGGGGTACAGCCTCCTGTCTGCCTCTGATCTGCTATGGTCAGTAACCCTCTGTAAGCCTCCATTTTTCTTTTTTTTTTTTAGCCTCAATGTTTTGTGTATACAACATGGGGACGCTGTGTCCAGGTCTTTTAGCTCAGTTGGGCCAGTGCATCTCAACACAGAGGACTTTGCTGGCTGTGGAGTGCTAGGCAAATGTTCCTCGGTCTTCTGAATAGATGGGCGGGGGCAGGTTGGCCTTTACTTATCACCTTTCAGTACCCAGCTAGCACCTTGGAACCAGGGTTTGTGGAAGGCCTGCTCTGTGCCTGCAAGTTCAGGGTCTCTGTCTGGCAGCAGCACATGGATTCACTGCCCTCAGGAGAGGAAAGCTAGCAGGCACAGTCGCCCCTTGAGTTCACCCTTGACTCCCCTCTCCCGCAACCAAGTCCAACCTCTCAGCAAGTCCTCTTCATTCTCAGAGTCCACCCACTCCTGAGTGCTTCTCACCACCCGCTTTGCTGCTCACCCTTTTGTCCACGCCACTAGCACTTGGAAAATATGCACAGACACACACAGACAGATACACGCCATCTCTCTCACCTTCTCCACCCTGCTTGCTTTTTGTCTTTTCTTTTTAATTTTTTGAGACAGGCTTCCCCTATGTAGGTCAGGCTGGCTTTCAGCTCACTATGGAGCCCAGGCTAGCTGGCTCCTAACTCTTGAACTCAAACTTGTAATGTCCCCCTGCCTCAGCCTCCCAGAATGCCAGAATTATAGGCATGGGCCACCATGTCTGGCAGGGGGATGCTCTTAAAACCTAGGTCAGTTCTGTCCTTCTTTTGCTCTACGGAAAAGTCAGAGCCCTGCCCATGTGACCTGGCTCCAAACCACCATCCCGCCCCACCCCTCTCCCTCTGCTCCAGCCACTCTGGCCTCCTTGCCATCCCGACCGCTGGGCACTCTGCCTCCAGACTTTCACCTGCAGTGTCCTGCCTGAGCACGCTTCCTGCAATCTCCAAATGTTCTGCTTCTTCCGTTGCTTTCTTCTAGTTGGTCTCAGTTACCTGTCGGTGCCCAGACCCTGCCCCACATCTTGCTCCATTTCTCCTCAGCACGATGACTCTCTGACACGGTATAGACAGGTTCATTTGTTGTTTCTTTGTGGCCTGAATCCTCCTGGCCAGTTTCTCAGCCTTGATCTTAGTGCTGGACAGTGTTGGGAGGCCTGTGTTCTACCTGGGGGTGCTTACCAGTATCTCTGGCTTCTGTCTAGATGTTGGTAGTTGTTTGGGACAATCAAAAATGTCCTCAGACATTGCTAAATGTCAAATGCAGCATCATGCCTGGTGGAGAACCTCTTCCCTTGGAGACTGTGAGCTTCTTGGTAGCTCCTGTTCCCTACTGTATCCCCAGAGCCTAGAAAGCTCAAGGACCATAAATCCTGCTCATTAAAGGTTTGTTGAATGACTGAATGAGACTCAGGTGAGTAAGTGTTTAAGGAGCTGCAGGGAGAGCTGGGGTTCTCTCTGAAGTAAAGCCCACTTGTTCCCCATACTCTTTGTTCACCCCTTGAAGTCAGCCCTCCTAGACCCGAGAGGTCTCTTGAAATCAGCAAGTCATTTCCCAGTTGGGGACACCGAGGCCCAGAGCAAGTCAGTAGCAGGGCTCAGACTAGAAGCCAGGTTTCCTGACTCTTATTCCGGCTCTCTTTCTGCTGCGGTCCTCTGGGCATCCTTCAAGCGGGGAGTAAGACATGCTGTTGAGAAATAATGATGAGAGGAAGCTGGAGAAAGGTCCTGAGGATGAGATGGTCCTGGAAGGGTGGAGAGGATGGAAGACAAAAGGGCAGAAAAGGAGAAGCAGCCTGCTTCGCTGCCCCTGAGAGCCCAGGCTCCACTGTGGCAGCTGGGGGAAGAGCTGTGGTGGGCGAGCTCCCAGGCTGGCTGTCAGTGGGTGGAGGGGACCCGAGGCCAGGGACCCGTTAGGAGGCTGTTGCAATTGTCTGGGAAAGAGGAGGGAGCTGGCTGCAGAGCAGGGGAGCAGGGCGGGCCGGCTGGGGGAGGCAGCCTCTGGAGGCTCTTACAGGCGGTCCTGAGCCTGGTCCAAGGGTGTGGTGAGCCCAGTCATGATTCGGGCAATGGCCAGTGCTGGGGCAGCTCAGAGCAAGGCTGCAGGCTGTCTGGCGAGTGGGTGGGTCAGATCAGAGGTCAGGACCCCAGCTTCAGCGGTGGTGAGGCTTTGGGGAGTAGGTAGGGGACCAGGAGGAGGATGAGGGTCAGAGGCCAGATTCCAGATGTGCTGGGGGGGGGTCTCCTTGCATATGGGGGGAGAGCTGAGCGGGACAGTGGTGGGGGCAAAGAGGGAATCTCTGCTCCGCACAAGGCCAAGTGGATCAAGAATGAGTCTTGGAGGTGCCCAGTTCAGGAGTGCAACTGGTGCTTATCTGCGGCTCCAAGTAGGGGCAAGGCTATCTCAGAGCTTCCTGCCCTGGCTGGGATGATGGAGGACACAGTGACACAGTGAGAACAACCTCAGGGATCTGGGCGTGAGGAGCGAAAAGGGGCTGGTTGGGAGCCTCCATTCCCAGCTGGTCTGGTTGAGTATGATTTATCTTTAGTTATCTAAAGCACAAAGACATGCTCATTGAGGCAATAAATGTTTGGAGGATGAGTGAGTGGATATATTTTTTTCCTGGTGTTTTGTTTTGTTGTCTTTTTTTTTTTTTTTTTTTTTTTGTCTTTTTCCTTTTTATCGGTACCAGGGATCGAACTCACGACTACCTGCTTATAAGGCAGGCGCTTATGCCGCTGAGCTAAATCCCCAGCCCGTCTTTTTCTTTTTTATTGGTACCAGGGATCGAACTCACAACTGCAGGCTTGCAAGGTAGGAGCTTATGCCGCTGAGCTAAATCCCCAGCCCCTGTTATGTTGTCTTTTTGAGATCATGAGTTCAGGCTGGACTTGAACTCACTTTTTAACCTAGGCTGGACTCAAACTCACATCAATCCTCCTGCCTCAGCCTCCTGAGTGCTGGGATTACAGGCGTGCATCGGCACACCCGAGTGATATGTAGATGGTTGTTTAGGCTCATGAGAGATACATGAATGGGTAGATGGATGCATGGGTGCTGGGACCAGCACATGGATAGATGGATGAGTGGGTGGATGAAAGACCTGTTAGGAGGAAGGGGGTGTGCTAGATAGCCAGGGGCACAGATGGCTGGGTGGATGTAGGAGTGTGTCAGCGAGCAGCTGTAGGTAAGGTGTTTAGAGGCCTGGTTGGATACAGGGTACAGGCTGGGGTGGCAGACCCTGATTCATGACTGGCAGCCACCAAGACAAGTGCCATGCTCAGAATGGACCTCCGTGTCCCTGCAGAGGTACAATCCAAGGTGATGGGACAGCTTGGGCTGCCACCTCCCCATGGGGATCAGTGTGATGCTTCCCATTACCACAAAGGGTGTCCTCTTCTGGGGCCTCCCTGTCTGGGGAGGTGGGGTTGCACTGAAGCTACTAAGCTGGGCCAGGCTCAGCTCATGTTGGGAGTCAGAGCTGAGGCTCCTTGCTCTGATTCTGGCCCACATGGGCACAACTCACCTCAGGAGGGGCATGATAACAGAAGCCCGCAGCCCCAGGGGAGTCTCCTCTGGCAGCTACCTGGACAAGCAAGAGGCAAATGTGTTTCTGGGTACAGCGTGTCGGCCTCTGGGGGAGTGGAAAGCGGCCTGCAGCAGGGCTGGGCCTGAGCAGGCCCCGTGAAACAGGGGGGGGGGTCTGTGTGATTGGGGGGCGCCCCCCGGGCGGGCCGGCATCCTGGAGAGCCTTGGCACTCACCAGGCTGCTGAGCCAGCGCATTGCTTGGTGTACAAATCACCTCCTTTCTCTATGTTCCCATCCCCCACTGCCCTCGATGTCTAAATTCTTCCCAAACCAGCCCAGCCCCAGGCTGTCCAAGGACAGGACAGCTGACTTGGTGGAGGGGGAGGCCCGGATCAGGGAGGTGGGCGGAGGAAGGGGTGGGAAGGAAGCCCTCCTTGCAGCCCCCAGCCCAGTGTTCTACATTCCCTGTGTACATCTGGCTGGGGAGCCCCGCATCGAGGGGCCATCGTGGGGACACAATGGGTGGGAGAGGCAGGCTTGGGAAGGCAGCTGGGAAAGGGGTGCTGGCTAACCCCTTCGCTGCCCCCCAAAGTGAAGGATTCTGCCTGCTGGAGGCGCTAAGGGCTGAGTGGTGCCTTTGCCCAGGAGCGAGACCCTGTGTGTGTTTGTGGGGACACGGCAGCAGTGTTTGTGCCTGTGCTTGTGCAGGCCCACTGTCAGCGAGGCTATACACAGCTAAGTGGTCCCTGCGTGTCCCAGTAAGGCCGCACCTGCATCCACAGCTGTGAAATGAAGCAGATGACTACCCCCAATTGCCCAATTTAGGCCCAGCTGGAAGACCAGTTCCTTTTCCTGGCTGACGCCTGATCTGAACATCTGGACACATTTGCCCTTGAGAAAGGGAATCTTAGCCATGTAGAGTGACACATGCCAGTACTCTGGGAGACTGAGGCAGGAGGGTTGCTAGTTTGAGCCCAGGCTGGGCAATTTATCAATTTATTTCAAAATTTATAAATAAATAAAAGGACAGGGGGTGTGGTTCAGAGAACATGCTCTGGATTCAGTTTCCAATATCAGAGGGAGGGGAAGGGGAAGAGGATGAAGATGAGCACAAGGATGAGAACAAAGATGAGGGTGGGGAGAAGAGAAAGAAAAGAACAAAGGTAGAAAATCTATCTTGTGCCAGCAGTTGGGAGGCTGAGGCAGGAGGATCTGGAGTTCAAGGTCAGCCAAGGCTATTTAATGAGACTGTGTTTTTAAGAAAAAGCAAAAGGGAATTCTGGAAAGGCCTAGACTCACCCCTCAGTATGCAGATAGCCCTTCCCAAGGATGAGGTGTCCTTAGTTGTGCAAGGGGACCCTGTAGGAGCAGACCCTGTACCCAAGGCCCACCACTTAGGGGACCAATTTATCCCAGTTTGCCAAGGGCTAGAATTCTGGTTTCAGCACTGCAAGTGCCACATCCTGGGAAACCCTCAGGCCTGGGAAAAGGAGATAGATGGTTGTCGGGGCCACAGGGAAGACTCTTTCCACCGCACCCTTCTTCAGCTACCTCAGTCCCAGCCTCCCCTCCCTCCCCACTTCCCTCTAGAACTTTCTAGAAGCTCTTACTTTCTCTTCCTGCTGTTTCTGTCACAGCCTCTTCCTCCTGCCCTCAGCGTCCCCAGGGATCTCTGCATCTCCCTGCTTTTCCTGCTGCCTGGAAAGCCTTTCTCCTGGTCCCCTCTCTCTTGCTTTCTGTGTCTGGTCCTGGCTTTTCTGTTGGTCTCGGGGACCTGTCCTCTTTCCAGGCAGCAACATGGACCCCTTGGCTGGGGTCTCTGTTCTCTGCCTCCTTCTGTCTCCTCCCTCCATCTCCAGTGTTTCCAGTCTCTGTCACAGTCTCTGGCTTGTCATTGTCCCTGGGTGGTCCACCCTCCTCCTCTCTCCTGGCACCGCACCTCTGGGGCGGATTGGGGTGGGAGCCAGGTCTTGGGGGTTGTGACCAGGCCCGGAAGGAGAACCCAAGCAGACATGATATTTATGTTGGGACTTCAAAGTACAGCACAGGCCATGGGGTGGGGGGTGGGGAGGGGCCTGGGGAGCAAAAGCCAGACTGAGATTGGTTTAGACTCCTCCCTGGAGAGGGTCTCCTTGGTGACACACATCTCTCCGTGGGACACGAGACCCAGAGTAGAGAAGGAATGGGCTATTTTGGTGCAGAGTTCCAAGAAAGTCGCTTCCTGTGCCCTGGTCCTGGCCTCAGCCTCATCCTTTCTTCCTGTCACTCTGGGCCCCCAGCCCCCACCTCCTCTCAGCATCTGCCGGAGAGACAGGGGGTTTGGGGGGTGGCAGGAGCAGAGGGCTCGATCTCAGCGGGAAAACATCCCTGGCGCTGGGACAGCCTTGTGTTCTGTCTGGCAGAGGCCTTGCCCGGCAGGGCCATGTGGGTCTGTAACCCTGTCAGCCCCAAAGGATCAGGCCAGGCAGGCCCAGCCCCTCACGGCCCCTGGAGTGCACTTTTGGGCTGCCTGCCTGAGGGATAGAGGGGCCATCTCAAAGTTCACCCCACCCCTGACCTCCGCCCTTGGCCTAACCCCTACTAAAGACACCCAGCTGTTGGGTGAGGCGGGGCGGGTAGGCAGGGCTGATCATCTCATCCAGCTCTCTAGGCTCTGGGGCCTGAGCTCCTCCCAGGAGCCCTACCCACCAGGCACTCCTTCAGGCTGGCCACCCCTCAGGAACTACCCCCCCCCCCCACACACACACCTGGGTCTGGAGCCTCATTCTGGGCCCAGGACACTCAGGACCTAAGCCCACCCAGGCCCACAGAGCACCAGCCTCGCCTGCCTCGGGGCCAATACCTCCTCCCAGGCCCTCCCCAACCCTTCCTGTGAATCAGGCCTGCTGGAATCTGATGAGCTCAGGCCTCCCCACCCAGTGCTGCCTGCCTCTGCCTCCTGCCTGGCCAGGGGGGTCATCACACCCCTCATAGGGGTCTTCTCAGCAACTCACAGCCCACTCCCTGGCCCCCAGGGGCTGGAGTGGGAGTAAAGCAGGGCAGGCCAGGGCTTGGAGGGAGATTAGGTAGGAGAGAGACCCGGCCCTCTGGTGCATGCTCCAGTATGCAAAACACGAGTGTCTCTGTGTCTGTTTTGTGTGTCTCTGCTGCATGTGTGTCTCTGTGTGTGGTGTTTGCATACTCAGGGCAGGGACAGGGTGGAAAGAGGAGCTGAGTGCTATGTTTCCTGTGTGTGTGTCACCAGGTCTGAGTGACGATGTGGTGTGGTTGGAGCTCAGCTCGAGTGGGTCTGAGTTTGTCAGGAGGTCCCCGTGGAGCTGATCACCACAAGTCTCTGGGTTGACAGTCCCCATGTGTCATATCGGTGCCCATTAACCTTGGGGGTGATTAGCTGCTATGGCTGGGAGGGTGTCACACACCCTTGTGTTGGAATGTGGATGGGAATGTCGCTGTGTGTTAAGTGGTGGATGTGAATAGGGGTCACAGGGCCATGGCAGGGTGTTAGATGTCATATTGAGGGCAGGTCAGTGGCAGGGGTCTCAATGCCTGCTGTCCATTGTACCCAGTTTAGGCCATCTCATGGCCCTGGCTCCTGGGCTAGGCTGGCTACAAAGCCTGGGACAGGTGGCTCCTCTGTCACCCCCTGCCCGTGCCCTCTTTGTAGAATCCCTGCTTCCCTTGGAGCACCAGGCTGGGCACGGGTTCTCTGGGTCCTCTGAGTCCCCTCGGTGGGAGCCACCAAAAGCACCTGGCATGGGGCTGGAGATGAAACGTGCACACCCCCTGGTGGCAGTGGTGGAGAAGGTGCCACAGGAGCACAGGACCGCTTCCCTCAGAGCCGTCCGGAAGCCATCGCTCCCGCTCCGTATCATTCCATATATATTTACTTACTAAGTGCCCGTTCTGGCTCAGGCATTGCCCTAGGCCCCTGAGGTCTGGCTGGGAATGAGGTCAACTTGGCTGTGGCCCACCAGTGGGAGAGATGGACAATCAGCAGACGCACATGCGCAGCGAGGGTGACTTGAGAAGCTCTAGGAGCAAAGTTTCAAAGCAAGGAAATGACTTGGCTGCTCTCAACTGACCGACAGCAGGGCGGGTCCCAGGCCTGACTTGTGGCAGTGAGAGTAGAAATGGCACGTCCCCTCTTACAGCTGTGGTCTCCTCTTCCACAAGAACAAAGCGTTTTCGGGAGTGCAAAGCCCCTACATCCCAGTGGGGTCTCAGAACCAGGTCAGCGTGAGGGTGATGATGGACCCCTTGCTTCCTTGTGGCTAGGGCTGTGGGTACTTGGTCCATACCAGGCACTGGATAGGCTATGGCAGAGTGGACAAGCTAGTGAGCCTTTCTATCTGGGGAGATTACAGAAGCTGGGGTTGGAATCTTGTTCCCTGAACAAGCCATATACCCCGAGGAAGTCTGCTTCCTCATCTGTAAAATGAGGCTGACATCAGTCAACAGACTGGTCTGTTATCCTGCGAGCTCCTGCCCCTGAATCAATACCGTTGGTCCTGTAGCTTTGAACAGTCACACACACACCAAAGCCCCAGGCAGTGGGCAGGAAGACCTGGGAGTATTCTCATGAGCCATTGCAAGGGGCACGTGAAACTCCAGAAGCAGAAGCTGGGACTGAGTGTGGGAAGGAAGGGAAGAGCTTCAAGAGGTCCCAGAAGCCTGGTTCCAATTCCCAGATCCCTCAGTCTGAGCTCCACATCCAGTTCCTGGGGTTCCTTGAACATCCTCTGCAGACATTCTAGGTCCTTCCTCTAGGGCTAAGCTGGACACATCCTGTGTTAGATTCCCAGAAGCAGCCCTCCCTTTTCCTCCCTAGGGTGGTTCAGTCCTAGTTATTACACTCCAGTCCATGGACAGGTTTTATTGAGCACCTACTGTGTGCTCACACTGAACAAGGCACTGGGGATGGGGACTCGCTGGGAGGACACACAAAAGAGTAAATGGGAGACTTCCTACCAGCAAGGAGATGGGGAGAGGGGTACAGGGTTGGGGGGAATTCGGGGGTCTAGTGAGAAATTTGGGAGCCCTGTAGCTGGGCTATGGGTTGTGTGAAAGCCTCCGTCCACCATTTCTTCCTCCTGGCTGTAATGTCACATGTGTGTTGATGCCTCTTTGTACCTAGCACATGAAAAGAATGTCATGCAGACTGGCTGGGGTCCACCTCCATCTCAGGACAATTTTCCTGAGGAAAGGTCCCTGAGAGACTGGTCTGACCTAGACCCCTAACTCCAAGCGACCTGAGGGCCAGTAATCCCGGGTTTCGCTGTTCCCAGGCTGCCTTAAGGCCACAGATGAGCGAAGACTGCGACCCATGATTGATGCCCATGCTCTGTGGCCCTGAGCCCCCTCCCTGCAGCTTCCTGGCCTGCGCGCGCCCCCTTGTGGTCAGTGGTTGGCATTTTCATTTGTTCAGATTTGCCTCCTGAGTTCCCTTTGGAGCTGTCCTGGCCTTGAGGGCTGTTTTGCTGGGTGGTATCTTCCTGGGAGTCGCTCTCTTGTACCTCAATGGGGCCAACAAGCCTTGCCTTGTATCCTCATAAAGCTTTTATGAGTACTAGAAGTTTAGTTAGAGAAAATGGTTTCAGAACCTCTTTCTCCATTTCTGCTCAGCTCCTGAGGGGGGCCATTATCCACCTTGAGTATCTAGGAGGACTTCCAATCCTGGGAGAAGGCTTCAACACAAATGCTTTAGCCCCTAGAACGTGGCCTCCAGCCAGTAAGACAGATGGAGTGAGAAACCGCAGGTAAGAGCCTGCTGGGCAGGGCAAGGGCTCATGGGAGAGAGCAGACAGCTGCTAACACCCGGCTTCTCCCTCCCTTCTCCCTTCTTCTCCCTTCTCCCTTGCAGCAGCAAGGTCATCCACTGAGCCCTTCCAGGAGGCGGGCAGCGCAGTGCTAGTATCCCCTTTGCTGGGAGGATGCTGAGCCTGGGAGGAGCTGGTCCTTCTGGGGACCTTTGCTGGCACTGTGCTACCTCCCTGAGTCTTCCAGACACCAGCAGTGACTAGAGCCTTTCAGGACCTTGAAGGCCTTGTAACCCCACCTGTGCTCAAGGGGGGGAGATGAAAAAGGAGCTGGGCCCACACACCCCCACCATGCCAGAGGCTGGGCCTCAGTGGGACTTTTCCTCTGCTGGACACACTCACCCCTGCAGGCTGCAGAAGAACAAGAGGCAGAAGACATAGAAGTCTCCCAAGCCCCTCAACTTCACCCTAGTGCCTCAGCTGTGGCCCGGCCCCAGCCTTTAGTAGCTGTGCTCATGGACGTTAAGTATCAGAGGTGGTAGCAGACACAGGAGAGGGCTGGGGTGGTGGTGGCTAAGGAAGCTGTGGCCTTGCTGAGTGGGGCTGGTGGCTCTGCCGGCCTTCTCTGCAGGCTCCTGCCCCAGATGACCTTCTGGTCCTTTCCAGCTACTCCTCTGTGACCAGGTTTTGCTCAGCTTCTGGCTCCCCTTGATGCACGTGGCCTTCTTCAGCTTGACACCTGTCCCCCTCAGCAGCCTTGTACTGTCCCCCACTGTCCTTGGGACTGGCTTTGACCCCCACACTCCCCTGTCCCTGGGCATCTTTCTCCTCTTCCTGGCTGCTGGCCTCTGGCCGCCCACTACCCATCTCCTGTCTTGTGTCCTCCTGGATCTCAGGCCGCTCTGCCCGGCGGTAGACGAGGTAGCCAGCTGTGGGAAGCCTGTGGGCCAGGGCTCCTGGGTGCAGGCGGTGATAGCTCTGTTCCTTGTACAGGAAGAGGCCAAAAGCATCAGGTTGAGTCACTCGGAATTTGGTGGCACAGAGCTGGTTCAGGGTGGCAATGGAGACTCCTGGGGGCACAGCCAAGGTCTTGGAGGTACACCCACTGCTGGGGTCCTGGTAAGCCACTCTGAGGAGGTGCTGTACAGGAGAAATAAAACCAAGGCTCAGTCCTGCCTGTGTCTAGTGCCAGAGACCAGTGAAGGCTGTGGAGGAACAGGGCCCGGTGTTACATATCCAAAGGTGGAACCAATTGGCAAAATATCACACAAAGAGGTCACTCATTGTACACCAAATGACTTAATCCTCGTAGCCATCCTAGGTACCCATTTTATAGATGGGAAAATTGAAGCACAAAGAAAAGTTATTTGCCCAAGTCCCCACAATCAAGAAGTGGTAGAGCTAGGATGAACCCAGAACCTGGTTGCAAGAGGCAGGATTTACAAGCAAGGTAGAGAACAGCAAGGGCAGGGTGTGGGTGTCTCTGAGGACACGTGGGCCAGAGGCCAGACAGAAGGACAGGCTGGAGCCAGAGGACAGTGAAGGCAGAGCCGTGGCTAAGGCTGGAAGCCAGGATTTGGAGCCCAAGCCTACTACCTATGTCCTCTCCATGTTGCTGGCAGTGCCCTATCTGCAAAACAGGGATAATTACTTCTCAGGTTCTGTGGATCCTGGGGAAGGCTTCCCCTGGAGCGTCAGTCCCATGCAGGGCGACTGGAGCACCCTTCATAGGAGGACACTGCTTCCACTGCAGGGATGGGGCAGGTGGGGACCATGCAGGAGAATGACAGGTCTCTCTGGGCCTGGCTGGTTGGGGTTTACGGGGTGGTGGGGCCATGTTACCTGGAAGCTGTGGGTAGCAGGCAGGCACCGCTGCTCCCAGAGCCTCAGGGAACGCTGCAGCTCCTGTGCAGGGCTCAGGGGGAGGGTGTGAGATTGGCTTAGGCTGCTCAGCAGGGCCAAGCTGGCTGATAGGCTGGTCAGGTAGTAGCCACCTGGACACAAGGGGCCAGAATGTAGCTCACACAGGGCTGGGATGACCCCTTCCCCTCCCTGCTTACTCAAGGCCCATATATCAGCTGAGGTCCCCCAGCTCCACCCAGACAGGGAGGTGGCAACCCTCACCCTCTCCAGTGAGCAGAGAAGGTTCCAGAAGCTCCGACATATACTCGGCTTCCAGCAGGAGGTCAGGAAGGTCACATTGGGCCAAGACGAGGCTCAGCAGTGGCAGGAACTCATCAGCACCTGCACTCTCCCCTTAGGGACACAGGAAGAGGCGTTTCAGATGCCTCTGGGGTCAGAGTCTAATCCTTGACTGAGACATTGACCCCTTCCCTCTGCCTGACGGCTCCTAGGCCATGGGGTCATCCAGTAATCACAGGAGTGGCTGTGGAGAAGCCTCAGTTTTACCATCTGAGACAGGAATGTGGGACCATTCTTCTCAGCTGTGCCATTCCAGGGTCCCAGGAGTGTCCCCCTTTGGGGGGGTTGCCTCTAAGTTAGGGGGCTGGGCCATACCTGCCTGGCTCTTCAGGCTTGTATACAGCAGCTTGCAGGCCTGCAGGAGTCGCTTAACCTGGGCGCTGGGTGAGTAGGTACGGAGCAGCTGCAGTAGCTTCTGGCGCACCTGCTCCATCTCCACCAGGGAGGGTGGGCTCAGGTGAGAGCTGAAGGCTCCAGGGCCCTGGGTTCGGGCCAGGCGGAGGCCCTCAGCCAGGCGGCCAAGGGAGCCATCAGCAGAAAGTCGGCGCCGAAGGCGGGCTGCCAGAATGGGCCGGAGAGGCTTGAGTACGGAGCGATGCAATGACTTCTCCAGGACGTGTTCTGCCAGAAGGAGGGCAGGCGGGGTCAGAGAGAAGGGGCAGAAGCTCCCCCAAGCAGGAGGCCCTGAGGAAGACCAGAGCGAGGAAGAGGCAGAGGCAGCAGCCACTTGAACAGTGGTGAGACGAGGGGAGTTTGTAAAGCAGTAGCATAGCATTGGCAAAGCGGGCAATAGCATGGGTGAGTAGAGAGAGGTGCTGGGGGTGGTGGAGCTGGAGATAGCCAGGGACTAAACTGCAGAGATCCAAGCTGGCCCTTACCCAACCTCTCAGCAGGCAACAGCTTCTCAGGCCCCAGCTCTGCACTCAGCATGGCCCGGGCCCGGCTCAGTGCCTGGCGGATGCTTTGCAGCTCCTGGGGCTCGTGGCCAGCCCGCACCTGCGTCAGGAGGTCCTGCACCAGCTGGCCCACGCCTGTGTGCCTGTCCTGTACCAGCGCGGCAGCGGCACGGGTCACCTGCCGCTCGGGAGCCAGCAGGGAGCAGAAGGCAGCGCTCATGGACCTAAGCAGTGGCCGCCTGTGCCACCTGCGGCTCAGACTGGGGGAGACTGAGGGGTTGCCCCGGGACCCTGGCGGGCCCTCCTCCTCGGAACTGCTAGGGGAGCCGCATTCCACCTCCTGGAGGGAGGGCAGGGGTGGTAGACTGGGGCTGGTGCCCCCTGGCACACGGTACCCTACTGAGCTCTCCCTCCGCAGCAGCTGACGAGGGGGGAGCCTCTCGGGGTGGCTGGGGGGTGCCCCAGGCAGCATGGGGACTGGGGGAGGTGGCACAGCAGGTGGAGACAGGGGGCTGGAGGTCTCTGTGGACACGCGCACTTTGAAGCTCGTCTTGAATTTTTCACGCTTGGTGGGGCCGAGGTCCCCTGGGAAGAGGGGGTTGAAGAAGCAGAGCACGGCACCGGTGCCCTGGTCCAGCTCATGGGGGGAGCGGGCCTTCAGCCGGGGTGGCAGTGGGCCTGGTGGGCCTTCGGACAGACCCCGCTGAGCCTTGGTGTTGAGGGAAGAGCTCCAGAACTCTAGGGACCAGAAAGCATGGGGCCTCAGGGTGACTGGGAGGGGGCCCACCAAGGAGAGGAGAGGCATGGTGCCCTCCCTTTCCCTCCTGGCCTCAGCTTCTTTTGTGTTATGGGTGGCAGGGGACCCTTACCAATGCCAAGATGGGAGATGGCCTCCAGCTCCTTGTGGGTGACTGCCTGTTGGATGGCTCTGGGGAGTTGGAGTGGGAGAACAAGGATGTCCCTGAACGCAGAGAGAGGAGCAGACAGGAGTGAGGGATGCTCAGGTTGGGGGGCCAAGGGGCCCAAAGGCCATAGAGGGCAGGAGACACATGGCACCCTGCAGGCTGCCTCACCGGCTATGACAGTAGGCACAGATGAGCTGAACTAGGTCTGGGAACAGAAGCTCAGAGCTCTCCAAAGAGACACCTGAGAGACACAGAGAGTAAGGTGATTCTCAGCCTCTCCCCCAACCCCCATTTCTAGCCCCTTCCACCCAGGCTGGCCCCTCTCACCACCAGGATGTTCCTGGATGTAGTGGCTGGAGACGAAGGAGGGGCCACTGGCCTCTGGCAGCCGCACACACAGGGCCTGGCACTGGCGAGTGTTAGATTTCCGCACCAGGAATGTCTGCAAGTGGCTGAGGTCAGGAGGCTTAGGGCCGTGCCATCTAACCCCTGTCCCTCCCACCCTCTGCTGACTGGTCCCCTGGGGTCAGCACCAGACTCACCCCCGGGGGCTCAGTCCTCAGCACGTGCAGAGCTGCAGCTGCGTTGGCCCGCAGCTGTAGCCACACGGGTCGCGTGATCAGCAGGCGCTCCCGGAGGCTCACGGTGCGTGTGGGTCGCTGGGGCCCACCTGCCTGACCCCCGCTGGCATCAGGTATGTCGTAGAGTGGGTCCTGGAGTGGCCTGGACCCGGGTTCCCAGAATTGAGCAGGAGCCAGGGCCAGAGACCCCTGTCCAGCAGTTTCCAGGCTGCAGAGTGCCCTCCTCCCGTCCCCAGATGGACTCTCCCCACGCAGTCCCTTCCCTCCCCACCTGGCTGCCCTTCCAACTTCACTAACTTCTCTCTCTCCAGGTGTCCATGGGTGACGCTTGGGCTGGGGACGCTAGAATGGTCTGCTTCTGGCTCTCCCAGGTCTCCCATGGTCAGGAGCTCCTCTTTTTTCCTTCTGTTAGGCTTCTCCCAGGACTCAGGAAGAGAATTCAGCCCCCAGGCACAGGCGCACACATTCCCAGGGTGAGTAACACTTCCTGAGGGCGGGTTCGCCTGTCACACCCTCAGTTAACTCTTCTGTGTCCATTCTGCCTGGCCAGTACCCTAATTACTGTCTGTTCTGGGTCTTGCCTGGAGGGTCCAGGATTGCCTCCATGCTAGTGCCATGCTGGGAGCCCCAGCAAGAGGGTGCCACCTCCACACAGTTCTTCCTGCAGCCTAGGCAGCCTCCTCCCACCAGGCAGCTGGGCTGGGGAGGGGTTAAGCAGGGCCCACTCCATCCCCAAAGGCCAGGCCACACCCTTGGATTACCTGAAGTCCTGGTCAGTTGCTCATCTTTCCCTGTCTTGGGGGAGGTGGGGGTGGGTCAACCTTGCAGAAGAGCACCCCCTACTGGTCACAGATGACTCATTCCTGAACCTAACTTGGGTTTTGGGATTTTAGGTTGCCAAGGAAAAAGGATGCTGGGTCTCCATGGAAACCAACCCCTTTGCTTAACTGAGGTTCTGGGGGTGGTTCTGACACACAGCTAACCAGGGGGAGTGTGGTGGTGAGGCCGTCAGCACATGGTGCCACAGCTGGCTGCCACCCACACACAGGCCTTGCTAGCCCGCCTGCTGATCCCCCAGGCAACTGGGGCAGGTGCAGACTTGACCGGCTCTCCAAGCACATGCGCCAGGCCCTTCCCCACCCCAGGCCACGTGCTTCATGTGTGTGCTCTGCCTGTGCCACATGTAGCTTCCAACTCCAGGCCCAGCCAATGTTTCTCCAGCCTACACCCCAACTCAGAGCATCCCAAAGTGCAAGGACTCCATAAGAGTCTGCCTGCCTCAGGCACTCCCCAACTGAAGACTTGATTCCCTGCTGGGTAAATCAGACACACTTTGCTCATGCCAGAATTCCAGAAAAGGTTTTAATTCCAGTTCTTACAATCAGGGAGCAGATTCCAGGAATGGCCCTGAGAAAAGCTGGGGACCCTGGCTACCACCTCTGGCTGCAGACAGGCCCTTGAGATAGCATTTCCGGTTTAGAGTTCTTGTGCTGGAGGGCCCAGCTCCTGGGCTAGTGGCTGGAGTCCGAATATCTGAGGTCACCAGGAGGAATGTTGCTTTGGCTTAGGACAAGGCCCCTCTCCTTTGTCACTGACACTGCGGGGTGGGCTGGGTAAGGGACAGAGACAACAGTCTTGCCGGGGGCCAGGTCAGCTCCAGAGCTACAGCTGTGCAGGCTGAGGCAGGGTCCAGATGAGTGGTCCCTGCAGCAGCACTGGAGAGTTGGCTGGGCGGCCCCTGGGTGTGCCAATCTGCCTTCTGCAGGAAGATTCGAGTCCTGGGTATAGTGCCAGCTGTTCCAAGGGAACCCCCCCGGGTGTGAACAGCATCATGGTCCTGCAAGTCATTGAGAAGAAGTTAAACCTAGAAGAAGGCAGCCACTTCCGAAGGGGACCTAGAAGGTGCCTCTGGAAGCCCTTATCCCTGGGGCTCAGCATTCCAGCCAGCCCTCACCCGTCCCAGCTGGGGGCTCTGTTTCACCTTTACATCATCTAGCTCCATCAACCCAGAGCTTCCTGTGCCCAAACTCCCACAACCCTTCAGACCTAAGTGAGCTCACTGATTGTCACAGCCTATCTCTCTCTGGGCTCCTTCCCTGGAGGCCAGAAGCGGGGATGGTAGTGGCAAAGGGGAGGGGAGGCAGGACGGCCCCATGGTTCTTACCATCTGCTTTTCTCTTCTGAGGGGACACTGCTGCTCTGGCCTGTATAGTAAGAAAAGGCGCCTGTGAGAGCCCAGCTTGGCAATCCCACACCCTGCTGCCTCTGATGGGAGAGCAGAAGTTGGAGCCGCAGGGATCCGAGGCAGCATGAGACCCCTTCTAGGCAAAGCTCTGGGGTGCTGCTTGTCCAAGGCCCAGCCAGCTCTGTTATCTTCCCCCCTTCTTGCCCTGCAGCAAGGCCTCTGGGATGCGGGCACCTGAGGGTAGGGCACAGCATGTAGAGAAACCACAGGCACTGGGGGAGACAGAAAAGGCAGCCCATGTGACACACAGGGGGACCATGAGCTGCTGGAGTGCCAGCACACCTGGGCTGAGGCAGGGGAGCAGGGAACACCCAGGTACTCGGACATCAGAACTAATGTCAAGGTAGGGAACACGTGGACTCACCTTTTTGATAGCCGTCCAGTCCTCTAGGATGTCTATCTCCTGCAGCATGTACACGATATAAGGGCCTACGACATGGGTCAAGGAAATGGAGCAGCCACTGGGGGTGGGGGGACAGGTAGCAGGCGCTCAGCCCAGGAAGCCAAGGTGGCTCAGGAGAAGCAGCAGAGAAGGTGCTGAGAGCCTGCGGGCTCCGCCTTTTACCTCTGGGCCTCCTGGCTCAGGAGAGTATTAAGCCTATTTCAAGGAGGCCAAGAGGGCACCAATCCCCTTCCTGCTTTCTCCAGCACCTACAGGGCTCTGCTGTCAGGCTTTCCGTCACTAACTGGCCCCAGGTTGAGCCACGTCTTCCATTTGAAGGCAGAATCCAGTCTCTTCCACCTGAAAACCACACTCCCCCATGCCCATCTGAGGTCTCCATACGCTCGCCCACCACTCTTTCCACCACTGCCTCCCAGGGCCTGCCCTCCTGGCCTCCATCAGCTCATCTCTGTGCTACGCTTGCGGAACTGCTGGAGAGACAGGAAGCCATAGGCTGAGGGGCTCTCTTGAGGTGGAGCAGAAGCAGCAAAGACCCTCTGGGGTGTGGGCACCCCAGGGTAGGGCACAGGGTATAGGGAAGCCACAGGCAATCGGGGACAAAGAAAGGCAGCCTGTGAGATGAGCAGCAGGGGCAGGGAGGGATGGGCTGGAGCATGGAGGAGAGGGAGTGGCGAGGCCCAGGGCAGGGAAGTCTGAGACTTCCTGGAGCTCAGACCTGGGGACGCAGAGGAAAAGCTGGGGGAAGAGGGTCCTCAAAGACTGATGCCCACTTAGGAAGTTATGGGGAGTCATTAGGCTGAATTTTCTATTTTTCTAGGATCCATATATGTTCCTGACAGCTGGACTGGCTTGGACAGTCATGTGATATTAAATGGCCATAAATGTGTGTTACCCGACTCTGTTCTCATGTTCCCTCCAAGCCCCTCCTGAGGCTGTAGTCTGTCCTGACTTCCTGGCCAGTGCTGTGCCACCCTGGGTGGAAGGATACCAGAAACCAGAGGTGCCTTCTTCCTCTTGCTCGGTGGCAGTGAGTCCCAGGTCCTGGAGCTGCCTCTGGCATGCAGTTTCTCATCCCACCACTCTGCGGCCCCACACCCACAGTCAGGATCAGGGCACTGGCACACACGCTATTCCCTCCCGTGTGGCCTATGCCTCTGCTCACTCCCCCGCCCCCCATCGCCACTCAGGGCAGTGGCCTGACACTACCCTGAGCTTGGGACTGAAAACCCTTTAGGACTGCCCAGGTCCTGGCCGAACCAGCAGTCCCAGAGAAGGGTAGAGGCCACCACCCTCCTGTGAGCCTCGGTTTCTCCATTTGTTGAGAAGACAGTGAGAAAAAAATCAATTTCTGCCTGCCCTAGACCACACATGACACAGTTGTAACGGGTACGGAGGGGACTATGTCTATTGTATGGTGGGGGAGTCAGACAGAGACCCCTCTTCTGGAAAGTATGGAAGGGGGCAGGTGACCCTGCTGTATGCCAGATCCTTTCCAGGCCTATGTCCTCACAGGGACCCCAGGAAGCAAAGGCCCACAGAGGGAAGGGCATTGGCAGAGCCTGGCCCCTGCCCTCACCCGAGCTGATGTCCAGGCTCTGGCGATCCTCCTCCAGCCTCTGGATCCGCTCCTGCAGCTCCCCCTGGAGCGTGTCATAGAGCAGCAGCTTCTCACTCTGGAAGGGGCGAAGCCGCTTAGCCTGGCACCACCTGGACGCTCAGCCTCGCCCACCCTGCATGGCTGCCCGGGAGCTCAGCTCACCTCCAGGTGCTGCTTGGCCCCTTGCAGCTCACACTCGTACTTATTCCTAATCACATCCAGACAGAAGCCCTTGTAGATTCCTGCAAGGGGGGGGGGGGCGCACTGCTCTGCTGGGGGCCTGTGCCCAGAAGGGAGGGTAACACATCCGAGAGGACAGCCCGAGGCTGGGCAGGGACAAAAGTGGAAGGGGCTGGAGCTGCAGGTTCTGGGAGGGTAAGAGGGCACAGGCCAGCCACGGACCTGCTACCTGGATGCGAATCTTGAGGCTCCGCTGCAGTCCCCCGAGAGGCTCTGTGTACTCGGGGGCTCTCTCAGCCCCCACTTCCTCTAGCCGCAAGCGCAGCTGACTCAGCCGCTCCCTGAACAACCTGGGGGGTGAGCAACTGTCAGGCAACCCTGAGAGTCCCTTATGGCTGTTAGGCAAGCATTGCCACGAGGGTCCGAGTTTGGCACTCGTCACCCTGGGCATCGGTACCGGCCTGCTCTCCTCACCCCAGCTGCCCGCAGATCCCGCCCGAGCTGCCCAGGCTCACTTCTCCTTCAGCTCTGAGAACTGCTTCTCCAGGTCGAGCATTTCACTGACGCACTCACTGCGGCGCCGCTCATAGTCCTCGTCGTCCATCTCTGGGAAGAGAGGCTGGTGAGCGAGGCTCACAGCGGCGGGCGGCTGTGCCCGGGGGTGGGGGATTACCTGAGCTCTCCTCTTCTGACTCGGTCTGGCTGCCGCTCCGTTCCTCCTCACTTTCTTCCTCTTCCCCATTCATCTCGGCAGCTGAGTCGCCCTCTGCTTCCATCTCTTCCGCGTCTTTGCTCGGAGGTTGGATGGGCATTTGGGCTCTGGGGGAGGGGGTGCAGGTGTCACTCACATCTGGCCAGGCTCAGAGCAAGACAGCAGCCAGTCAGGAATCCAAGGAAACCTGACCCTCAGCGGGGTGTGTGTGGGGAGGTAACTGGCCTCACCCCTCATTCTTGTGGAAGCCAGGGTACCATGGATATACTCATCCCTTGGATGTCGCTGGTGATCCCAATTCTGGGAATACTGGCTGAAGTTATGATCCACTGATGAGGAGGGCTGAGGGTGGATTCCCCAGTGGCGATGGAACTGGGCCTAACTTCTGACCAGGGCTTCAAGGCCCTCCACCCCATCTTACAGCCAGCCCTCCTACTTCCATCACCCTTCCTTTGCCCAAGTAGTTTTTTTGAATTAAAATGCTCCCTGTCCCCCTTCCCAATACTCCACAGTCCTCTTGCTTTTTGCTGGGCTCTGGGGCCCCAGGCCCTCAGTGCTCCGCCAACTCTGTCTTCTCTTGGCAGGCACCATGGTCTCAATGTGTCCCAGAGTTCATGTGTTGAAAACTTTTTTTTTTTCCATCGGTACCAGGGATCAAACTCCTGACTGCACAGTTGCAAGGCAGACACTTATGCTGCTGACCTAAATCCCCAGGGCCATGTGTTGAAAACTTAATCTCTAGTCCGGGTGTTCAGAGATGTGCCCTTTGAAAGGTGACTAGGTCTGTCCTCAGGGGCCGACTAATACCACTGTCACAAGAGTGGGTTACTGTGGCAGGGGGTTCCTGATAAAAGATGAGTCTGGCCTTGTCCTCTCTCTCACCCTGTCACCCACTGCCATGGAATAGAGCAGCAAGAAAGCCCTCGAAGACATCTGGGCCCCTGAGCTTTGGATTCCCTGCCCCTAGGACCCTTAAGAATGAAATCTCTGTTCTTTATACATGGTATTACCCAGTCTGGCTTTTTTTTTTTTTTTTGTACATATGTGTGTGTGGTATGGTGACTTGAACCCAGGACCTCACACATGTTAAGCACAAGTTCTACCGCTGAGCTACTCTCCAAGCCCTCAGGTATTGTTTATTTTTGTTTTTTGAGATGGGGCCTTGCTGTGTACTTAGTTTTGTCTGGTCTTGAACTCACTGTGTAGCCTAAGTTGAGTTTGAACTCACAGTGGTTCTCCTGCTTCAGCCTCTCTAGTGCTGGGATTACAGGCATAGAACTCCACACCCAGTTATAGCAACATGAAATGAACTAAAACAGCAGTCTCCTTCCTAGATTAGAGGTACTCAGGTATGCTCTATCATTAAGAAAAAAGACCTGGATTCAATCCATCCCCAGCACTATTAAAAAAAAAAAAAAGGGCAGAAATACTGAACTTCACCCATTTCACTTGGCCATTCTGTTTTTTTTTTTTAATTTTTATTTTATTTTTATTGTCTTTTTCCTTTGATCGAACTCACGACTGCCTGCTTGCAAGGCAGGCACTTATGCCGCTGAGCTAAATCTCCAGCCCCGATCATTCTGTTTTTACAGCTACTCTTTTCCAGATCTTTTGTACACTTGCTGCTTCTTTTATCTCCTACTTTTTGGATCTATTTCTGTACCTCTTGCTCTTACTGAAACTGATCCTACAGTCAAGGACTTCCTTGTGGCTAATGTCATATTACCTCGGGGCTTTTCACTGAGCTACATGAAAAGGCCTTATATAAACTTTTTTATTTGGAGAGTAGGTCTTGCTAAGTTGCTAAATTGCCTAGGCTGGGCTTGAACTTGCCATCCTTCTGCATTAGTGTCATCATGCCTGACTTCAGTGCTTATCTGAATTGGCCTTTCAGAAACATTGAATACTCCTAAGCACTTCTTTTATCCATTCGTCTGACAGTTACCGAGCACCTAATATAAGTACCATCAGCTATTGTGATACAACTGTGACAGACTTTGATCTCAGAGAGCTTACAAATTCTGGGTGAGGAAAAAAAAAACCCGACACTGAAACCAAAACAAACAAACACAAACAAAAAGTCAGTTACTAGGATATAGGGAGAATTAAGTCAGAGGTAAGGGTCTAAACAGGACCTGGGTGAAGTAGTGAGGGCTTCCAGAGGAAGATGGACCCAATGGGGGCCCTGAGTTCACTGAAGGAGGGAACATTCTTGGCAGCGTGAGCAGCAAATGCCAAGGCCCAGAAATGAGAACAGGAGAGGCTGGGGGCACAAGGGTCTGACTTTCAACAAGCTCTGGGCTGCAGATTAGTCATCAGCAGCAGATTTTCCAAGCCATCAGAAGGTATGGCCAACAAGGAGGAATGTGGAGTGAGAAGGGATCCATGATGGAACTTTCAGAGTCAGCAAACGGGCAGATTAGGAAACAAAAGAGGGAAAACTCAAAATCACAGAGAAACAGAACTGCAAAAAGAAAGAATAGTGGTAGTGCCCAAGGCCACCAACAGATCACTATAGAGGAAGACTTAAGTAGTTCGCTTCCTGGATCATTTCTCTGTCATCTGGGGGGCTGTTTCACTGTGTCTGTTTGTCTCTCTTGTTGAAACAGGATCTCACTATAGTTCAGGCTGACCTTAAATTCACAGTGCCAGCAGTGGTCCTCCTGCCTCAGCATCCTGGGTGCCAGCATCACTGCTCTTCTTTCAACTTCTCTATCTACTGCAGTTAGGATAGTGTAGACACCGTTCCCTCCAGGAAGCATTGTCTGTTTGCATTTCCTGCCTTCCATTCTCATGTCTGTTCTCCCCATGTGTGTGGCAGCCTTACTTGAGCAGGGGCTGCACATGCTCCTTGTTCACATAATGCCTGGAAGATTTGCAAATACAGATTACACAAGACAAATTTCCAGTGCAGGGATTGGCTTTTATGTCTTGATAGACCCAGGCGCCTTGAGGTGACCAATATTCCTTGACACCCATTCAAGCAGCATGCTGTCCCTGGCCTATGGAATTTAGCCACAGTTTTGAATGGTTTCACTAATGATCTGAGCCTGAACTGGAAACCAACCTCATCTTTTTTTTTTTTTGGTACCGAGGATCGAACTCACGACCGCAAGGCCGGCGCGTTTATGCCGCTAAGCTAAATCCCCAGCCCGCCAACCTCATTTTTCCTATTCTCAAATCTCATTGGCAATAGCTCCTCATTGTTAAGTGTATGCACCTTGTAAGATGCAATCTTAAGTCCTATTTCTTTCAGAAAGCTTGTTTTTCTTGCAGGTGACTCTGATTTTGACTCTTAATTAGGCACAACCTCTTCTCTTTAAGCCGGGTGCAAAAACGGGATAACCATTCCCGATCCCTCGAAAAGACTGTAAGATTTAAGGGTGGAAAATCTCACTGTAAGTGCTGTGCACATACAATTTGTTTCTCTAAAGCACCTTGAGGGCAGGCTTCTACGGAAGGCAGACCCCTCCCCACAATCACAGAGGCTAATTTAGATTTTCTGAGGCCCTCCGCGAGGCTCCCACCTCGCTTTACCCTCAGATATACCGGCGCGGACTAGAGAACAGAGGGCTGTTCCCGGGTCTGCTGCGGCCCTGCGGCCCCGCGCGCATCACGCCAGTTAAGTCTCCGCTGCGGCTCGGGAGGAGATTGTGTTGGCTCCGACCGGCTGACCAGAGGCCAACCCAGGCGGCAGGCGTGGTGATACGCACCCCGGGATGTGTGGCCTCCGGCTTCACGTCCAACTCCCTTAGAGATGACCGAGTCCACCGGTATTGGCCACCGCCACCGGGCTCCCGGAAGCTTTGTGCAGGTCCCTCTTCCCCACGGGGGGCGGGCCTATCGGCGCTTCCTTGTGCATCATCAACAGGCGCCCACCCACGAAGCTCACGATTGGCCAACTGGGGAAAGGCATGCTGGGATACCGCGGGTCGGTCTCCATAGCAACCGGGCGACATTCACAGAGGCCTTCGGTCTGCTGGGAAGACCCTGGTGATTTCTTCGCTTTACTGCCAAGTGGCCCTTGGTCCTTGGCCACCTCCCCACAGCGCGGAAGGGGAAAACCCGGGGCCCCAGCGCAGAAGAGTAACAAAAGCAGCTGTGGATGTGAACACTCGTTTATTTACACTTTGTCATTCGAGGCAACCATCCCAGGCCATCGGAGGGTACAGGTCTCAGATTGTCCCTCATAGAGCCTGCAGACCCTTCCCTCCTCCAGAGCGCCCGAGGGCAGAGGCTTGGCAGAAGCACAAAGTTGAGGTTTCCGTCCAAAAGTTAAGAATTAAGTTCCAAAAGGCCTGTTTCATTAAGTACTAAGACTTCTTAGCTCTGTCCCATTCATTCGTTTTGCTCTCACTACCCATTCACCCAAGATTGTTAATAACAACAACAATAATAATAATACTGTAATAATATTAATACTTCACATTTGTACGAAGCTTACAGAATATTTTCACATACAGCATCTCATCTGAGCCCCCCAAAAGTTCTGTGAGGTAGGCATTCTTACCTCCCTTTTTACAGACAGGGTAACCGAGGCTCAGAGAGGTAATAGGATTTGCTCAAGGCCACACAGCTAGTTAGTGGTAAAGCTAGGACTTGCTCCCAGCACCCCATATTCAAGTCCAGTGTTTCAACTCCACAGCTACCTCTGTAAAGTGGAGTGACATGTCTTACCCCAGTCAGGCCTGAGGTGTGGCCTGAGGAGCCAGAGGCTGAGACTTCTCAGACTAGGGAAGGGAAGGACTCAGCAGCGTCGGGGAGAGTTGAGGTACTTGGTCTTCAACTCCTGTTTGAACTGGCGGTAAAGGATCTTATTGTGCTGATTTTCAGCCTCCTTTTGGGGATGGAACTTCAAGGCTTCTTTGAAGCCCTTATGAACCAGGAAACCTTCATTCAGCACCTCAAAGTCAAACCCTGCCACGTGCAATTCACAGGCCTGTAAAAGAAGACACAGATCAGCAAAGTTTGATGACATTTCCCGATCCCAAACAGGCAGCTCAAAAGCCACACAGTAACTTCCACATCTCTCTGGAGGCATCTTGGAACTTCTACCCAACCACTCCCCAAACTATGATCCCTCCTGCATCTCTGCTTCTTTTCCATCATCCCATCCCTAATCTCATCCCCCCTCTTGCCCATTTCCGCCCACCCTTTCCCGTTTAGGCACCTGGCTGATGCGATTGAAGCCATATTGCCGAAAGCGCTCGTCAAAAGCAGGCACCTTGCCTCCAGCCACATAGAAAGGCTCCCAGGGATCCTGCCAAGGCACCACATAGGCAGGCCTCAGCAAGCTTTCTTCTGGCAGGTTGACCCAGCGAGAGTAGTTGGTGGGTGCCTGGCAGGGTGTGCAGAGCCCATAATAGAAGGGCCGCACCTCCCCCACCTGGTAGAGCTGCAGCAGCTCTGCCTTATTCGTGGGCATGCGGCGGGCTCGGCGGATCTCGAAAGCTGGCACCACTAGGGCCGTTCCTCCCCACTGGTTGCTCTGATCCAACATTTCTCGCAGGCCTCTCCACAGCCCCTCACTGGGCACCATGTCTGCATCGATCACCAGGGCATAGTTGGCTCCCTCTCGAGCCAGATTCCTCAACAGGTTGTTAGGGTAGGAGACATTGGTGCCCAGTGCATAATTGATCCCGGGCTGGGCCACCTTGGCTAGCTTGTCAAAGACTTCTTGGCAGGAGCGAAGTAGTGCAAACTCTCCCGGCTCCCGGGGGTCGGGCACTGAGGCCTCATAACGTGAGGGGCACACAAGGTGCATGGCAACCCTGGCGCGCATGTCGGGGCAGTGGCTGCTCAGCGCGTAGGCCAGCACCGTGGCCAGCTGCACCTCCTCCTTGGTAGCCGCAAACACTGAGATGGACAGCGGGCCCTCCCACCGCTCCAGCAGGCCCGATAGATGCAGCAGGTTGTCCACGCTGGCATGCGTGGCCAGGATCACATCGCTGGGGTCCATAGTGGTCTTCAGGAGGCCCCGATAGACGCGGTAATCGCCGCTAGAGTCCAGGACGCCTCCAGAGGCCAGCGCGGTGCGGAGCTGCGCCTTGACTTGGTCTACGGATCGCGGGGACGGCGGGAAGAACTCGAAATATTGGTCTTGCTCTTCCTGCCCGTGTAGTCCGGACAGTAGCGACAGGTAGAGCAGCTGAAGCATCGCCACGAGCATAAGGGCGGCCAAAAGCAGCTGATAGAAGGCGCATCGAATGGCGTAGGACATCTGCATGGTTCCTGGGGCTCGGGGCGCACAGCAGGGACCACCGAGTTGCGCAGCAGGGACCACAGGGCCTCAACGTCTACCCGCGTCTACCAGCGGCCGCAAGCCCGGCTTTACCGCAGCCTGCCGAGCGTACCCGAAGCTCCCCGAAACCAACCGAGCCCGGCACACTGCCCCGCCCGCTGTCCGCCCGCGTCGGTTTCTGAGCGCTCGAGCTCGCCCTCTGCGAGAGAGGAGGAGCTACTGCACCCGCCGCGCGCTTTGCGAACGCCGATGCCGCCGCGATCCTGCGGCCCCTCTGCCACTGCTACTGCTACTGTGCCCGCGTGCTCTGGGACACGCGCCCCTTCCTCTTGGTCAGTGTGCAACCCCCTGGACCCAGCGTGTCCCGCAACCCTGGCGCGCACGCCAGGACTCAGAGGGGAAATTGTGCCAGAGCTCCGCAGCTGCTTAGTGAAGGATGGCGCGGTTCCCGGCAGAAGCGCGCTGAAAGAAGACAAAACAGCTCCTTTCTTTCCATTGTTACTTCCCCTCCTGAGTCCTACCAGACGGGTGGTAAGAGGTAAGTGATGGGAACCCGAAGATTCAGAGACGATGAGAGATAAGGAAATGTGGAAAGAAGAACAAAGCGTGGGACGAGGTGGCCGAGTGGTTAAGGCGATGGACTGCTAATCCATTGTGCTTTGCACGCGTGGGTTCGAATCCCATCCTCGTCGGTCATATTTTACAAAGGGGAAAGTTTCTTAATTTTCCACATGTGGTCCATCCGGATGTAGCGAGCTGAAGAAAACTGAATTGGGCATAACAGTGAGATTCTGTCCAAAACCTTGCCCTATGTTATATTGTGCACAACGTATCCCCTGGCGTTCATTCTTCAGGTATAAAAACCTTACGGGCAGAAAGTAGATGGATGTGATTTTCTTTCTCCTTAGAAAGAGGACCCAGGAGTTGGTGGTATTTATGACCGGTACTGGGATTCTGGCTAGTGGCAAGTCGGGGGTCAATATGTCATCTGCAGGAAATACAGACCCCCCACCTCCTCCTCCTCAGGTAGTTAGTAGTCTTTGAATTAGGCCTACTGATTCCTCCCCTCTTCCCAGCACTTCTCCTAACAACATTCTTTCTTCCCAATGTGTGCATGTACACACACACACACACACACACACACACACATGCAGAACATTGCAACGCCAGCTACTATACACTGAAAGCACTTAAGCACTTGTGGACAACCTTCTGACCCACTGACTGTAACAATGAGATGTTGCATCCATGCTATCTTTTTGGCCAAATCAGAGTGCTCTATAGGGCACAGCACTATGTGTGTATCTTGCTTGAAAAGAGGCATTGGGACAGACGGTGAAAGACATCCAATGCCAGGATAGGATATGTACTCACCCTGTTCCACAGGAAGCAGGGAGGAAGAGCGATCAAAAGATTCATATTTGCAGTTTGGTGCATTAACACCTACCTGCTCCCTGCCAGTCTGGTTAGGCACAGGGGCCCTGGACATGCAGGTAGTGTCCTTGAAGGTTTTCACAGGGGACAAGTGCCAGGAGAAAGGGGGCAGGCAAGTGCAGGTCTCTTCAACTCAGGCCTTATAAACAAGTGGTTCAGAAGCCAGGTTTGGTGCCATATATATTATTTTATTTTATTTTTTTGCCTTGGTCAGTGTATAAAAACAATAGTTTGAAGCTGGGCCTGTAAGCTTAGCACTCTGAGAGGCTGAGGCAGGAGGATTGCAAGTTCAAGCCCAGCCTAGGCAATTTAGCAACTTACCTAGACCTGTCTAAACAAAGTGGGTGGAATGGGGGCTAGGGTTGTGGCTCAGTGCAAAAGCCCTGGGTTCAGTCCACAGTGGAACAACTGCAGAACATTGAGTCACATTAACAGTTTGTGTGAACCAGGAGAGGTTATGTAGAATCCACATTTCTAATTTCCAATTTCCAACTTGGATTCTGAGAGCCAGCACTGCCAGGCCTACATTCTCACCGGATGATAGCTGGTCAGAGCACCAGAGTGTCTTCTCTGCCAAACAAAGTCTTTGCCAAAGGTGTCAAATCATACCCCCTCCAACCCTTTGAGCATTTGAGTTTCACATGATATCCAATTATTGCTTCAACCATAAAGTTTACCTGGTCATCTGTCCCCCACACTCCATACTGGGCACCTAGCAGGCATTAGTATGTTTGTTGAATGATTAGGTAAGATTCTTGTGACATAACGTCAAGGTGCCTAGTGTAAGGGGAGACTATAAAGTGGTGACTAGGTCTTGATAAAGTGACTTGATCGAGGGTAGCCACACAGAAGGTTCAGACAGCAGCCCAGAGTTTGCTGCTGTGACTAGAGACACCTGGCTGGAAGAGATTGTGGTTGTGGCAGAAAAGAATGTCAGTGGTAGAATGGAACTGCTGGTGGCTTCCCTATAGATCACCCTCTGACTCTCCCCAGGGATTGAGTTTGGGTTGCGATTCTCTAGAGAACAGGAACCAACGGTGTGCATGTGACACCAAGTGAGTGGTTGAATTGGCTCCTGTGATTGCTAGGGCTGGCAAGTCGGAACTGTACAGAGCAAGCTAGCAGGCTCGGTTCAGGTCAGGTCTGAGGGTGAAGTGTGAGGACCGTCTGGAGCCAGAATTACTTTTTCTTTCTTTTTTTGGTGCCGGGGATGGAACTCACAACTTTGCATTTGTCAAGCAGGCACTTAACATCACTGCTGCTGAGCTAAACCCTCAGCCCCAAGAATTTACCTTTTTTTTAAGGTCTTCCACTGATAGGACGAGGCCTGTTTGTATTATAGAAAATAGTGAGATATAATAAGAAATATGTATTTGGTTTTTGTCTCTGGTTCATTTTTTTCTTTTCAAATCCATTTTATTTCTTGAAGAAAAATAAAGAAGAAAAATCTAAAACAAAATTTCAAAACGTGTCAATCAGAGGGTAACAATGTTACACACGTGTGTTGTCATCCCCAAATCATTCACCCAGAGCACAAAACATCTGCACGCAATACCATGGGTGCACATATGTCACTGTGGTATAATGTTTTTAATTCTTTTTGAAAGGTACCCAAAAGGGGAATAGCTGGGTCAAATGGGACCTCTAGTCCTGGTTTTTTGAGTAATTTCCACACTTTGACACAATGATTACATCAGTCTGCATTCCCACCAACAGTGGAGAAGGGCTCCTCTTTCCCCAGCCCCTCCAGCATTTGTTATTGGTTGATTTCTTGATAGTAGCCATTCTTTTTTTTTTTTTTTAAATTTTATTTAAGGAGAAAAAAGAAAAAAAAACAGAAAAAGGGTACAAGTTATACAGAATTTCAGAAAAAATAAACAGTAGGAAATCACTAGTTAATTACATATTGTCATCTTAGAAATAGTTGTTGAAGTTACAAAATTAAAGCATATAGAGGGAATTTCAAACAGTGAGACTGCAAACAGTTTTGTTCAATAATCCAACAAAACTCAGTAATATGGTTATCTATCGTATACACTTAAATATATATGCAGTTATATCTTTTAGAGAACTTTCTTTTCCTTTCTTTTGTACAATGACAATTACACATTTTGGGTTTTATTACTCCTACAGTTCTTATTACTTTTTTTTTGAAGAAAGTAAAACCAAATGTGACATACCAGGACAGAGTCAGTCAAATCAAAAGGATGGACATAATACATAATGTAAAAACAAAATACAAGGTGATCAACAATGGTTACCATAATGCCTCATTATCTTAAAAAGAATTGCCTATATCATCAGTTATAATAAAATTGAACAAAACAGTAAAGAATAAGACCAATAAAACCAAAACATTGGAGACATTAGAGGACTTCAAAAGAAGATAATAGTCAACCAGAATGGGTGTCACAATGTATCTTATTGTCTTCATAGTTGTTGCCTAGACTTACAAACTTGGTACTATCTAGCATAACAGAATAGAGTAAAATCAGTCAAAACAAGATGGTGAGAGCAATACAGAGTTTCAAATCAAGTTAATAGGAAATCAAAGTGGGTTACTATAATATATCCTGTTATTTTTTATTTATTTTTCCCTTAATTAAAAGGATAAAAATGAAAAGGTAGATAATAAAAAGGACATTGAGATAAAAAAGAGGGCATAATGACAAAACAGTGCAGGTCAAAACATAACATTAAACAAAATAGTGTTTCACCACAAGATAATCTCGACATAATAGCAGTTACCATAGTGTCTCTTCCCTTAAAATCTTTGGGTATAACTTTGTATACTGTAGCATCAAACATATCAAGACAATGTAAAACCGTTCAAGAGAATGACAGTATTACAGGGTATTTAGAATCAACTAACAGAAAATGAACAATGGTTTCTGTATAATCTCCTTGTCTATAGAAGTTTTTGTTTATATTATCACATATAATAAAATCCAATAAGATACAACACGTTAAAACTGATAGAGACAGAAGAACAAAAGCTTGATGGGACTTCAAAACAAGAGGATAATAAATCAGCACTACCTATTATGATGTCTTGTTTTCTCCAAAATAGCTGTTCCTACCATCCAACCTTCTCTGCCTCATTTCTGTTGAGCTTTTTTTCTGTCACTAGTTGTCAGTTTGTCCTTTTCATTTCGCTTTCTGCTCCATTCATTGTGGCCGCTCTGCCACTGTTTCTGGAATCTTGGTATTTTTCATTTTTAGAATATCCTGCAGTATTCTCTGTAGAGTTGAATTGGTGGTTGCATATTCTCTTAGTTCCTCTTTATCCTGGAAGCACCTTGTTTTTCCATCAATTTCCAGAGATAGTTGTGCAGGATATATCAATCTTGGCTGGATATTATTATCTTTCAGAGCTTGAATTATTTCCCTCCACGCTCTTCGTGATTTGATGGTTTGTGCCAAGAAGTCTGCTGTAATTCTGATGGGTGTTCCCTTGTAAGTGGTCTGTTTCTTGTCTCTGACGGCTTTTAATATTCTGTTCTTATATTGGATTTCTGGAATTTTGATTATTATATGCCTGGGTGTAGCTCTGTTTGGATTGTAGGTAGCTGGGGTCCTGTATCCTTATACATCTGAGTATCTTTACCTTTTGCTAAATTAGGGAAATTCTCCTGGATTATTTCTGTGAATAGCTTTTGTAGTTCATTTGTTTGAGTCCCTACTTCTTTTATGTTCTTAATTCTTAAGTTATAGATCCTCTTGTCATCTTCTAGTCTTTGTATTATTGCTGTTTGTTTTCTTTAAGAAGTTATTCTTAAAGAATTCTTTAAGAAGTTATTTCTTTAAGAATTCTTTAAAAAGTTATTTTTAAGAAGTTTTTCATTTCAAAAAAAAAAGAAGTTTTTCATTTCATGCTCCCACCTTACAAATCTGTCCTCCAGTTCTGATAATCTATCCTTAGTTTCTTTCAAGCTGTTATGCCAGTTTTCAATAGAGTTTTTAGTTTCCTGGTAATCTCTGTGAACCTACTTCATGTATTCTATGTTTTCTCTATCAAACAATTCTCCCCTTTTTTTCTGTTCTTCCATTCCACCATCTGGTTTTTCTTGGGTAGTACTTAGCATTTCTCTAACTATTCTACTT